CGGCCTCAGCCCCGGCCTCAGCCCCGGCCTCAGCCCCGGCCTCAGCCCCGGCCTCGGTGGCCGGGCTCGTCCGAGCAGCGCCTCAAAGGGAGAGGGCGACGCCGGTCGACGGCCGCGGGGGGACAGCGCGCTCAAAACATAGGTGAGAGTGATTTGCATTGCCCTTGTTTGAGTGAGATGAGAATTCGGTTAAAATAATTATTGGCGTGATTCTCTCACTGTTGGGCAGATGCCCTGAAGCGCCAGTTCTAAATGATACCCTTTCATCGCCATACACCTCCTTTGTCATGGATTTTTAGTTGGTACCAAGCCTAGGACTGAACTGGCAACAAACGTCATGGGCTGTGAACAAGAACTAAGGCAGGTCTATGACGACTCAACAGGGAGACAGGGAGGAACGCCGCTAAGAGCTCTGCAAAATAGCCTGCTGACCTACAGGTTGGACCGTCTGCCAGGTGAGAAGAGGAGACAGTGAAGGCAAGTTTGTATGGCTCAGACGCCGTTCATCTGAGGCTGGCCTGGCCCCAACAGCACAGCACCCGGGTGCGACGCAAGAGCAGCGTGACCGCGAGGCAGCCCTATGGTGAACCACTTGTTTGCTTTCCCACCCAAAACCTCTCCAACCGCCAGCCCGGTCCGCCGCTGCCGCCTCTCCGCGACCCAGTCGGTGGAGGGTCGACGCACAGCAGCCAACGGGCGTGCTCATTTGACCGCACCATGTGTACTGTACGAACGAGGGGAGAGAGCGAGAGAGAAAGAGATATCAAGAGAGAAGTACGTGTGTGTGCGCGCGTGCGAGCGTGTGTGTGTGTGTGTGTGTGTGTGTGTTAGCAAAATCCCATCCTTACCACTCAGCGAACACAGCGTGCACTGTTAAATTCCTACAAAGCATTCGCTTTGCAGAGCTGCGAAGTATTTTGCTCCTTTGTAACTACGAAGCATCTACATTGCAATTACAAAGTGATGCTTTGCAATTGCGAAGCAATGAAAACGCTACAAAGCATAGCTTCGCAATTGCAAAGTGTCACTTCGTAATTGCAAAGCATCACTTTGTAATTGCGAAGTAAATGCTTCGTAGTTACAAAGGAGCAAAATACTTCGCAGGAATTTAACAGTGTGCGCGCCTTCGAATTATTCGAGAGAGAGAGAGAGAGAGAGAGAGAGAGAGAGAGAGAGAGAGAGAGAGAGAGAGAATTGCGCACACAATTTCCTATATCTACCCTTCTGCTACACTCGCGTTACATTTAAGCTTCAGGCAACACGGCAGGGCCGTCTCCCTCTTCAATAACGACAGAAATGTGATCTCTGACTTACTCTCTCGCGGAGCGCCGGCACGTGAGTCGTCCGCCTGCACTGCTCGCGTCAATATCACTGCCGACGGCGTGGTGGTAGAAGCCCGCGATGTTAGCGAATTCCCCACAAAACCAAAAAAACATCAGAGCGTTTGCCATAGTACACACGGCACTGTTCCTTAATGTCCAAGGACCATCGGACCGATTCAAGGACGGGGGGAGGAAAAAGCACCTTGAATCGGTCTGATAGTCCTTGGACATCAATAATCAAGAAACAGGTTTTTACCGTGTACATTAGTTAAAACAGTTTGTGTTTGTTATTCCAGCAAAAAGTTTCCCAAAAGCAGTATTTTTTTTTTGTCTCATCAGCAAAATGATGCCGAATTTATAAGAGCCTATAGGAAGCACACCGAGTTTGGCAGAATAATTTATCTAAACGAGCAAAATTTTTGCGGCTGTAGCAAAAAGTTTGTTAATATAGCTACAAGTTTTTTCTAAAAACCGCAACAAAAAACACAAAATAATTTAGTTTGGCGTGCCGCGCGGTGTAGGAGGCGCGCGTGGGAACACGGAACGAATGCGCCTGCTGCCGCTCAGCTCCGCTCAGACCCGCGCGACCTGGACTCCATCCCATCATGCAAAGCGTCTCGAGGGTAAGGTCTCCTCATGAATACAAAAGGCGCTCACAATGATTTGCCCGTGATTCCCCTTGCTCCATCTTTTTGTTGACGCGGGGAATTCGCCGTGTTTCCCTCTAACGATGCGTGAAAGCCGAGGAGTGCAGTACTGCGGGATCGGTTTTGTACGATACGAGCGACGGCGTATCGCTCGGTCACTGTCAGTCCGCGTGACGCGGAATCTCCAGCAGGGCAAACTGTGGGCGTATTATTGAGGTACGATGCGTCGCGCGCGCTCACCGAAGGGGTGGGGGGGATACGGAGCGAAATTTCCGCGACACGCTGCCGGCAGACTACACTCTAAATGTCAAGGACAATTTTTGTAACTAGCACCGGACTTCTGCGTGCATAACTGGAATCAGATACAATATTGTGACTTGCTAGTCACTAAATGTGTGTTGGTAGTTACAATATTGTATCTGAGCTAGTTATGCACACAGAAGTCCAGAGCTAGTTACAAAAATTGTCCTTAGACATTTAGAGTGTACGATTACATTTTTTCCCGCCTCCCGCCTTTCCCGTGTTGACTCAGCGAGATTGAACGCAATGCGGCGTAGCAGCGGCGGAGTCCGATCCGAATCCGAGCCACGATCGTGCATAGTACTTCTGCTGCACCCCTTTCAAAGCTTCCGAAAGTCAACCCCACATCATTGCCATATAGGCAAGCAACGAAACAAACTCAAGTGTTTTGTTGTTGTTGTTGTCAATCTCATCGTGAAACAAAAAGTGGTAGTAAAGCAGTGAACCCTGCTGTTTGGTACCCTTCGCGCTGCGTCGATTTATCGTTCGGTTCGCGGAGGGGGGCGTCCGCCCGCACCCCGCCCAGCCACCCACTGTGCCGCTCTCCAAATCCCCGCTACCCGCTGCCAGCTCCGCCAGCCCCGCTTGCCATGACCTGCCAACCAAACTGATGGCCCACCAATTTCTTTCATCCCTTTTTTCGTGGTGGGTTGTCTGTCTATTCTTATCTCTCATCGTCTTCCCGCTCGCCTTGCCTGTTCCGCTCCCATCTTACCACGCCACCACCCCGCCTCTCTCTCCCTCTTTCTCTCTCTCTCTCTCTTTCTCTCTCTCTCTCTCTCTCTGAGCACGTCATCAGCCGGTCGTAAACGTTAGCGCAAAGTGCGCAAAGGCCTGATATTGATGGGGCTTTCCGCGCAGCCGGTGCAGGCGCCGGGCAGCGCTGAGGGGCTCTCGCCACCGATATTCGCTCATAGTTTGGAGGTCAATAGCTTCCGCTGGTTGAAAACATTGGCGCGGAGTGGAGTTACCTCACCGGCTGAAAATGCTCGAAAGGAGTTGCTCACAGCAACCAGCGGACCGCGCCGCCTTCTCCACTCTGGAG